GTACAGCAGTGCCGCGCTTTTGACTGGCTCACCGTACGATATTGGAGCCGGTGGAGAGACCTATTAACGAGTGCGCCTTTTTATCGGTCAGCACCCTCGCCATCCCGGCGAATCCCATAACGTACTCCTGGAAATCGATGGTACCACTGCAGCACAGCAAGCATGAACCGGGGACGGGGGCGGGGGGGGGGGCGAGAGGTATACACGACCGCGTCAAGCTCAGGTTTCATCACACCGTGGTATTTTCTGCGGACCAGTGGCCCTTGTGTCTTGAGCAACTCGAGAGAAACGAGGCCAAACAACACGCCGCACATTCAACTGTCACCAGAACGACACTTGCCTCCTTACATGTATGGTGGTGGTGGTGGTGGTGGGGGTGGAGCATTACGCAGCATCTTATACGGCCAGAGGCCGGAGGGTTATAGTTGAGGCTAAAAACCCCGGTGTGTCGACGGAGCGGAGACGGAGCTTGCGTCTCTTATCTTATCATCACATCTGGGTGTTCGCCAGCGAGCCAGAGGTACAAGTCCGACACACGGGTGTGCGTAGCGGCTACATCAGTGAAACGTGAAAAGCGTGCCACCGAGAGAGGTCAAAATCCGAGGTATTGCGGCGTCGATGCAGGAATCGAGACGTAAGGGCGCATGAACAACATGTTGTCGAATATTGTACGGAAAATGTCACCACCTCGTTCATTATTTTTCAAACAAAAGCACAACAAATATTGCTTCTCTTCCACACATAAAGCGTCCGGGATAGATTAGCAATGAATTTATGTTGAGTATTTCATTTATCCCAAGTGCCGGAGAAACATTTACAGAGCAATGTTCGTCACCTGTGTACCCCACGCTGTAGATGCGGCGTCAGTCTAGATAACACAAAAAAAGCGTGATATGCAGACACTATTAATATTGCCCATTCATCTCTCGCAGCATCGAAGCTTGCCTGTGATTCCGATCGAACGCCTTGAAATATTTCTTGACCCACTCCTCGTTCATGATGCCAAAGTTACGCCGCACCGTGCGGCGGAACTCTCCCGCGGTGAGGTACTCCTTCGTTCCTGTTCGTTGTTCGGCAACACCATGATTGTTCCGTTTCGCGTGTCGTCAAGAGCTTGTTCGTGCTCAAAGTTCCCTCCTCGACTCTGTATCTAACACCGCAACGCAACGACCGACCCGCCCAAGACTGGCAGTGGAAAACGTAGCGACCATACACGTGTTTCGCGGTGATTCTTACACGTGGTACGGTTTTGGTGACGGCCTCTACTCCACATTATCCGAGCAACACGCCTCGTCTATGCTCAGTAGCTGTAGCAAAAAACTAGAGTTGCGGTGATAGAATAGTTGATATTTGGATGGTCGTAGGGCAAGCGGCAGTTGTGGTACTATAGTACCGCCTGGGATCCACTACCACCGTACAATAGGTATACCACGGGGGTAATTCAGCTCTTCAGCACAGCAGCAGCAGCGCTATTCCTCGCGGTGAGGATATTCTCAGAACTGCTGTGCCATGGGCTGCAAGAAACGCTCTGTATGGAAACACAGGGACCACAGGGCCAATCGCCTTTGCATCCGAATAGGCCCTATCTTATATTTCCAGACAGATCCATCACAGTCCACTTCCAACGGGCCCAAAACCACAAGAGACGGACGTCCTTCTCTTCTCTCACCCGCCAGCTGCCTAAACCTCTGGAAGAGGTCCGCCAGCTCCGCGGGCTCGAAGTTCGTCCTGAGGCAGAGCGTCGACACCAGCGTCTTCCACTCCTTCGGGAGGTCGTACACCGGATGCTCCTCCACCTGCCCGAGCGCGCCATAAACAACATCCGCCACCCCATCCGCGGCGGACTCGCGTCTTGTCCCGCCCCCCTCCCCCTCCTCCGTGGCTGATAATACTGTTGTGCCCCCCCGGGTGTCGTTTCCTTGCCGTTGGGCACACCCCCCTTCTAACGATTGGTCAGCCCCTGAAGATGGGCTGCTACTGCTAGTGCCGGGTGGCTGGGGGGGAGGGGGTTTCGCCGTGGGCAGGGGCGACGCGGTTGGGACTCCCTCTTCCGGCGGGTTTTGTTTCCCTTTGCTGTCGTAGCCTGGCGGATGGTAGTTATTTCTGTTGGGGGGGGGGGGGGGGCGGAGGGAACGGAAGCATTGCATTATTGCTGCTCACTCGTGTAGGTAGGATACTGTCCGTAACCTATGGCGTACGTCGGTGCAATCAATACACCGGCGGCGACAGACTTCTTGGAGCGGTTTCTTCTCGCCGTCCTTTTCATCCTGCTCCATTCGACTCCTCCTTCAGCACAGCGACTCTGCGCGGGTCTATGCTACAGTTTGCACACCAAGAGCTCGTTCACACAATATCAGTAGCGGCACAATTCACTTGGAAACCTCGGAATACATTCTCGCCGTACGTATGGTGTCGGAGCAAAGTCTCTCAGCAAAAAACATCACAAGTCGTGAGAACACACAACATACAGGTAGAGGCGTTCTCAACCCTTCTGGCGTTGCAAATTGAAGGCAGGCACCGCGGGATAAAACGTGGAGGAGTCCTCCTGTCTGTCTGTGTGACCCGGGGTGGTGAGTGAAAGATACCGTAAGTGACATGACGTAAGATAGCACACCCCCTGGACCGATATCTACGTATGTACTGTACAACTCGAATACGTACTCCACGAAGAAGACGATGAAATGATCAAACGAAACATTTTCGGAAAGCTCTCGAAGAGAAGAGAGGGTTCCTTTGACGCCAATCTCGACACCATCACTGCTTCTGCTGCAGAGTAGCCGAACTTTGAAAATCGTATTCTTGTGCACTCTGCGGTATAAACGAAAGGCGAAGACTGATGTATTGTACTGATGCCCAGCTTGGATGGAAGGAGCACACATACACATTTCCTTTTTACAAGATATCAAGGGCCTGCAAATATGCCCCTAAGAAAACCGCGGGCAAACGGGCTGGTGGAGGAGTGCCAGACTGGCTTGACCTTAACAGGTTTAATCTGGTAGGCGTGCTGTGTCGAAACAACAACAGAAAAAACGAGCGTCCCGCGGAACTTTGCACGAGTGCAGAAGGCTTCATATGGCGGTTGATGGTCAAGGATGTCAGCGATGTACAAACCGGATTGCGCGTGGGGATGATCACCGTGAATGGAGAGTGTGTGAGGCCCGAGCGAACGCAGCGAGTGCAACATCACTTTTGACACAGAGACACCCAGGCTGCATGTTGTCAGCAGTAGAAAGTACTTGATGGTGCCAACTGTTTGTTAGCCTGCCGTGCGCAGGGGGAACCGTGCCAGAACAACGGCACACCGCCGTTGTGTCTCCAACGGCTGGGCACACAGGCTATTCACGAAGCACTACATGTAGGCTGCCATATATCACTATCTAGGATCTACGTAGTGCGGTGCGGGTGGCTGAGCACGGTTCTTACGCCGCCTTTCGAAATTCTGTTGGAGACCTGAGCCTGTCGTCTCGTGGGAGTGCTCGTAACTTCTTGCTGTCTGGTACTGGTCGGTGCACGCTAATGGATTCGTGGATTAAAATCTTGGTGCGAACGCGACAGCACCAGGCTGTTCGCCATAGGCTTTGCTCTGCCTCTGCTGTGGCTGCGTACTTTCCTCAATTCGGTGTCTGTCCAACCCTCAAACCAAACCGACGTCGATCTAGCCCAGAGTCCCAAAGCACGGCTCAATCCACGCACCCATCTCGCAAAGACGCCGTGGTCTGTTCGGTCCCTTGGTTAACCTGCCCAACAGCTGCCCACCAGTGCGAGTTCGGTGCTGAAGATAGTCGGCAGTTTCGCAAAAGCGACTGCGGTGCATAAAGCCCAGCTGCCTTTTGCCTACTGCCCACCAGTAGACTGTGAGTCATGTCTCCACAAGGCACAGCAGTGCAGGCTAGTGTCCATTTGAGGGCCGTGTGTTGAGCCTGGGGCAGCAACTGCGAGATGGGTGCTGCTGGCGTAAGCGTTGGGGTAGGCAGAACTCAAAAGACTCTCCTCGTTGTTGACGTTGCGCTTCAGAACTTACCTGAACACGAGACCTTGCGCAGGCCTCGGCCATCTCCCGGCCCCACCCAGCGCCAAGGAATCTCTAGCCCGTCTCAACAACGGCCTCATACCGTGACCGCCAGTTCTGTACGTCCCACTAGCCGTGCGTGGGGTGCCAGAACACGCAACCAGCAACGACGCCAATGGGGACTTCGCAAATAGGAAAATTTGAACACCCTCCACACACCCTATGGGGGCTCCGAGGTCCATCATCCGGACTCCGTAGCTTGAGCAGCGAGACCGACAGAGAGAGAGACAAGAGACCGACACACACGGCGGAACAAGCATAGGATCTCGGTGAGAGGAGTGTCAAGAACTGCTTGTTTTTTAAGCCGCGTGGTGCTCTTTGATTTCACTACTGCTGTTTTGCCTTTTGTTTCTCATGACCCCTCACACGGGGCAAGGTGAAAGACGAGAGACGAGCATGTCTCGCCGCATTTGCGAGCTTCAACAACAAGAAGACCGCCGTTTAACCAGGGGAGACAAAGAGGCTGCCTTTTGTATGAGATGACCATCTCGTCTCCTTTCTGCCTTTGACTGATCTTGTCGCGTACGGCCTAACCGCGCAGTGCAAAGAACGTGATTGAAGGGAACACTTTGCAAAGTATCCTTCCTCCTCTCTCCCGATTCCTGGTGCTATAATGTACACGCTGAACATATTCTAAATAGCAGCAGACCGAACCAACCTCATTTACCTTGTTCACAGGCCGAACACCTTTTGCAAAAGGGCATCCGCAGAACAGCTGGTACCATTCGCCTCCCTCGCAGACGGATGGACAGAAGGTGTTCGATCTGTAACGACGCCCTTTCTTACACAACCACGACGCATCTAAATCATAGGTTTTCAGGGTCACTGCAAAAGTTTTTTTTCTTTTCTGCAGAGAACCATCATACTCTCTGACGGATCCTAAATAGTCGAGCAGTCGAGTCTCTCCGCAAGGAACGGCTGTTCAAGAGATACTCCGGAGTATGCTAAAACTATGCATATACCTATGCTATCCATTGCGGCGGTAAAAACCAACTTGCACAAAGCACGGGGCGCCATGATTTATTGCGTATTTAAGGCCGCAGTTCGATCCGGGTACATGTCTGTAGTTTCAAGGTTATGAACTGGTTGGCAGAAGCTTTTTTGGCAGCTGTTTTTGGAGGACTTTTCGGGGCTCCATTTTTGTTTGCTTTCTTGAAAGGCATTTTGAGGGTACATAGTTGGCTTGTGACCACGGAAGTCATCCGCTTCAGTTGGACCAGTACGGAAGTGAGCTCAAGGTACAGAGCGGAGACCGAAACTGTTTGCTATGTCAAGACAACAACAATATCAACAATTTACCTGCAGTAGGCTAGCGCGTTTTGAGTTCTGGGAGGCGCCGGTGATTCCCAGTGAGGGGGGTGGCGATCAGCTAGCTCACACAACAACAAAAACGCGCCGTCTGCCTCAATCAACCCGATCGTGCTCTCAGAGGCAACTCGATAGCGTGTGATGGGTGACCAGATTAGCAGGGACGGCACAGGTCGCACAAAAATGTAGAGAGGTGTTCAGCAGTGCATGCGTCATCCATGGTGGTGCGTAGGAGCGTGTTGGTGTACCGCTCTCTTGTCTCCCGGCTGGTGACAAAGCGAAAAATTGGGCCGAGCAACCCGTCAGTAGACTACACCCAACACCCACTACCAACACGGTAGATAAATGCAAACATAACTACACAAACAGCTGCACGTGTCAACTCGCTCTGTCACCTTTCTCCTATTTGTCAGCTCCTTGATCGGGTGTTCCCCGGTGCTCGCTGATGATGTGTGTGTGTATATATTTCACTCTCGAGATGGTGACACAAACGCACAGCAGCACCACAAACCAACCACCCGGTGTTGGTTTGCTAGGCCCGTGCCGGGGGGACGAGTTTCTTTGATCTTTTTTCATCCCATTCGTTCTAGACTTCGGTCCTCACGCCTTTTCTCCTGCATCTTCCTTCCACCGCACCGCAACAGGCGGTGGCTTGATTGTGCGAACACACACGAACCATGTTGTCCCTGGCCAAGAGGATTCGCGAGACTGTGACTCCGGCGAGGAAGACGTCAGCGTTCCTGAGCCAGGGGGTGCTTACCCCCGAGGAGTTCATCGAGGCGGGCGAGCAGCTAGTCTTCAAGTGCCCAACGTGGACATGGTGAGACGTAAGAGAAGGAGAGAGAGAGAGAATGAGAGAGGCAGACAGGCAGGCAAAGAGACGGATAGAACGAGAGAGACAGAGAAAGACAGATAGAAAGAGTGTGTGTGTGAGAGAGAGGGAGAGAGAGAGGGGGGGGGAGGGAAAAGAGACAGACAGACAGACAGACAGACAGACAGACAGACAGACAGACAGACGAGGGATAGAGGCAGAGAGAGAAAGACACGTAGAGCCAGAGAGAGAGAGAGAGAGAGAGAGAGAGAGAGAGAGAGAGAGAGAGAGATAAAAGAAAGACGGTAGACATTTCGGTACGGCACTATCATGATCATGGTACTATATGGATACGGTGTTCTCAGTCGCGGGTGCGGGTGTTGCTGTGTGGCCCCGGTGGTTTTGAGTGCCCGAATGAGCACGCCGACAGAGTCATGTAGTCAGAGGCTTTTGGTACCGCACCGGTGTTGCTGTTGCTCCTGTTGCTGCTGCTGATTTGCTGTGGGTGATGGTGTCACTGATATTGGTGCTGCTATTGTTTCGTTGTGGCTGTTGCTGCTGCTGCTGCTGCTGCTGCTGCTGAGGTTAGGGTGCCTCTGAGACATGCGTCCCGTACACAACCGTTTTTTTTCTCCTTGGCATGTTTTTCAGGGAGGCCGGTGACCCGTCCAAGGCGAAGGACTGTTTGCCCGACAAGAGCCGACAGTTTCTCGTCACAAGAAACGGTGAGCAAGCGATGAGGGGGCGTCGAAACCATCTTTCTTTGTTATTGTCGTTGGTGTTGCTGCTGTTGTTGCTGCTGTTGCTCTTGATCTGGTATAGGCCGTCAGTGTTTGTCCGCGATACCGTGGAAAACACCCTTGTCGTTACTGCTGCCTCTCCCTCTGCTGTTGTTGTTGTTGCTGCTGCTGCTGCTGCTGCTGCTGCTGGTTGTTGTTGCTTTTGCTACTGCTGCTGTTGCTGTTGCTGTTTCGCTCGTGTAAGGCCTTCAGTTTTAACCCTCAAGATGATATCATCAGCGCCTCCAGCAGCACTGCTGTACCCACAAAAAGTAACGCGGAGTCCTGGGCCGACTCCGGTAGCTTGATTTCCCGATGAGGGGGTGGGGGGGGGTGATACCATAGGGTGCAGAAATAGCACCGTTGGAATTTTCATGGTATGTTGCTGAGGGTTTCTTCCGGATGTGCTGCAGTCGAACGGGAAATATTTCGTCGGTGTTGGAAATCGCGTGGTTTCGTCTGTGTGCGGGAGGCGGATTAGTTGTCACCAACAGAGGGGTGGGTGTGTGTGCAGACAGCAGTGTGGGGTTCGGGTACACGCCGTGAGGCTAGCAGACGACACGTGTTCTCACCTCCCGCGAAGGTGAGAACGATCCCCCTACGAACCGCCCCTCGTCTGATTGCGTACAGCAGCATCACCGTGTTCCATCTTGCGATCCATCGAGGTCCACCTGCTGCTGTGTTGTTTGTATCTATGCTGCTGTTGCTAATCGCGGCCTCGCCTCTGCTTTTGATGTCCGTTTCCGCTGCGCGGGATACTGGCGCGACATGATCCTTGTCGCGGCTGTTTGTGTGGGATATTGGCGTGGCATGATTCTTGCCGGCACGCTGCGTTTTGGCGACGCGATGGGGCACTGCTGTACGATGCGATGATGGGGATGCACGGCCGCATGGTGCGGCAGTACCGTGTCACAGGAGAGCGAAGGACCTCGAGGGGGAGTACGTTGGAGACACGGAGGTGAGACAGGGAGAGTCGGCGTCACAATCGCAAGGGTATGTATGTATGTATGTATCCTTGGACCAAGATATGGTGTGTGTGTGTTCGTCGCATCTATTCTCGCGCCGGTTTACAGGCCTTTCGGCGTATATACCCGACGGATCAGCAGGGGTGATGCAGGATCTTTTTTCATTTTTTTTTTTCGTTTTACAAACACGGGACAGATGGGTGAAGCGTCTCAATCACAAAGGCAGCGTTCGACCAAAATGTGCAGATAGTTGGAACAGGTTTTGTTGCCGTTCGACCGTGGCGCTTTGTCTCCAACAGGTACGTAGTCTTTCTTTGTGAAAAATTGGGCAGATGGGTGAGGCGATCGGATACGGCTCAAGAGGTAGGAGGATCGCAGGCGTGTTACGTAGGGCAGGGGGGGGGTGAGGCGGTGAGACACACGAGGAAGGTTAGACACGTGGATAAAACGACGGAAAAGACAGAGTTACATGTGAAGAGACACGTTGGGGAAACAAGGGCGAGTGATCCCCTTACTCCCTACCCCTTCGTAAACCAAACCCCCTCAGGTGATGCTTAGAGACGGAGCGGGAGATGACGGCAGCGGCACCGGCGACGGGGGCTCAGCAGAATCAGCGGGAGGAGCAGGGGGGGGTATATCTGACGATGCGTGGGTGGAGCCCAATGTGGTGGCAGATCCCTCGAGAGGAGGGAGGTATGGGCGGGGCGACGGCGACGATGGCGATGAGGAGGAGTTGCAGCTGGGGGGTGGGGCGAGGCGGTCTGTTGGGGGGGGAGGGGGGGGCGACGGATCAAGGTATGGCGGTTCTTGATGGGTGGGAGTGATGTTGTGGGTCGTGGTGTGATATTTTATGATACGACATAGGATACGGTAGGTGGGTACTGCTGTATGACATGGTATATGGATTGGTGGCATGGCGTGGTACGGTATGACATGGCGATGAAGTGGTATGGTTTGGTATGGTATGGAATGATAGGCACAGTATATGGATTGGCAGCATGGTGTGGTACGGTGTGACACGGCGTACGAATTGGTATGGTATTAGATTGGCCTGGTTTGGTATGAATGGTATATATGTTGGCAGCATGGTGTGGTAACATGAGGTTCTCGGTTTTGCTCTTGAATTCGGCCCGTTCTTGCTTGTTGAGACGACGACATCGAGAACGCAAGCCTACAACCGTGACCAAACTGGGGCCGATTTCGATGACAGGGTGCGGTTCAAGTCGCAAACAAAGCACCGAAAAACAAAGAAAAAAAGGAAAGTGAAGGGATGGTCATCACGTTTTCTCTTGGGAGAGATGCTTGAACGCCAGTCTCGTTTGACCATGGTCTTGTTGCTTGGTGCAAGGGTGTTTTTTTTGGGAGGAAGGGGGACAAGTCGAACACGCGCAGACAGACAGACAGGCAGACAGACAGACGCAGCCTAATTATTGTTTTATGTATGTTGTTTTCTCGTGTGGCGGCAGATGGAGTTGCAGCAGGTCTGGGTGCCATCCAGCTGGTGGAGTCTCACTTTACGTCTCCCGCAAAGGTATGTACTGCTGTCGTCGCCCTCTTTTGTTGTTATTGTTATTGTTGTTGTTGTTGATTATGGTGGTTAGGCCCGTTTTATACACAGATATGCTTCCAGATTTCCAGATTTCCAGATTTCCAAATTCCGATTTGCCAGATTTCCAAGCTTTTTCCAAATATTTGGAAGCACCTCATTTCAAAGGTTCAACGCTGTATAATAAGACGGCCGTAGTGTTGTTGTTGATGGCTGTGGCGACGGTGCTGTTGCTGTTGTTTTGTTTGTGCTGCTGTTGTTGGGTTTGTCGATGATGAGATGGTCATGGTCATGAGGTTGCTATTTGTTGCTGCTGCTGCTGCTGCTGCTGCTGTGATTGTCGATGTTGGGCCCGATGGATGTGCCAAGTGAACAAACGATGGTCACAAAATCAAAACTCTTCTACGAAGTAAGTGGACAGCCAAAATACAACAACGTATGCCGACGAAGAGGCGAGGGCAAGATGAGAAAGATTATTTTGGTGCATGAATACGCTATCGATAGATACAAACGGCCGGTTGTGGCTCCTTTATGATGTGCATGCAATATATGCATATGCAATGTCTCATGCCATTCATTCCGCCCCCTCACTGCAAATGCTTGGACACACCCCCTTCGACTACCTGTGGTATTATCTCGAACTTGTACAATAGTTGTTCTGTGATGTATGTATATTTTCAACGGAATCTGGTGTGTTGTTTTACACCACACTTCTCGGGCGTGATGTTTTTGGACGCGCCGCCGCCACCTGTGCGAGAACGAAACTCTTTTCTTGCAAGAACGAAACTCTTTTCTTCTTTTCTTGCGCTGAGAGCTTTGGGTACTCGTCTTCTCTTGCGGGTCATCCACCGCCACTGCTGCACAGCAGTTTCTCGCATAAGGGTGAGCAATCGAAAGGGGATCACAAACGTGCGCTGTTTAGTCCTTGTATCGTAAAAATAGATGAGAGTATGCAGAGAATTCTTGACGACTGGCTTCTCAAGAGGGGGCGCGTAGTGCGTGTTTTTGGACGCCCTAGCTGATAAAAAAAACAAGTCAAACACCGCAGGTGGGGCAATAAAACAAAGAAATAAAAAAAGCTCCTGTGTGACCTTCCTCTTGTATGACCCCGGCTGATAATCCAGGTTATACGCCGAAAGGCCTGTAAATCGGCGCCAGAAGAGATGGGACGAACACACACACGCAGTTCATGGCATTTAGAATTGTTTTGTGTTTTCAACCGCATTGAGACTGACGTCTTTTCATTGGTCAGCCGGTTAGCGCGGTCGATGCTAATAATAAAAGACACCCACCCACACACACGCACTAGCCGAGATCACACGGGAGCAAGCCCAAGCCGACTTCTTTTTTTGTTTGTTTTGGAACGGAGTATGCATACGTGGCGTAGTCGATGGTCGAAAGACGAAGGCATGTAAAGAATATTGAGCCGCGGAACCCCCTCCCCCCCGTTCCACATTCTGCGGTGCCCCCTAGGCGGCGACATCAACAGCTGACACGGCAGCAGCGTTACAGGAGGCCGCGAGAGAAACGTCAACAGCGTCAGGAGCAATAGCCGACTTTAGCGGTGCTGGGGAGGAGGGGAAGGGTAGCGGTGGGGGGCCAGCGGGGGCGGGCGGGGGCGTTGGTGCGGGGGGGGGCATGTTGGAGGACGAGGACTGCCCGGATTTGGACAGCTACGTGGAGGACAACTTGATGCAGGGGGACGAGGTGGGGAAAAGCGTAGGGGGGGGGCGCTCATGTAAAAAAACATGCCGTAGTCGTTAGACCCTTGACCTCGCATCCCTACAATGCCGGGACGGAGCGATATGGGAGCGGGGGACACAGCATTCGAGAAACCGTGGGTATTTCTGAATTCGGCTTGGCATTGGGCCGTTGTCCACTGCTGTTACTGCTCACTAGTGGTGCGGGTGTTATTTCGAGACGTTGTGGTATTCCGTATTCCCACCCCTTTTGTTTACCATGGGTTGAGCCACGTGCTCATACCCCCATTTCATAGGTTCCAGACAGTTGTTTGCGTTGTGACAACCCATATACGCAAGTACTTGTGAACAGTCGGTCTGTTGTGTTGTTGTTGTTGTTGTTGACATCCTCCTCGTGTACGTGTTTTTTCTTTCTTTCTTCACTTCCTGTCTCCGCATCGCGCTTGGCGCCGGCCCTGTTATTTGTTTGATACTCGTGTGGTTGTGCTTGTTGTTGTTGTTGTTGTTGTTGTTGTTGCTGCTGCTGCTGGGTTGGACTTATTCATGTTGTTGTTGTGGATGTTGATGTTGGTGTTGGTGTTGTTGCTGTCGTCGTCGCACGCTTTACAGCGTTCCTGGTGTCGCGTCCTTTCCTTCATCCATGCAACACTAGCGGGTGTCCTCTTGCTACTGCTCTAATCGTTCACCACTGCAGAAGCAGTTGCTCCTCACCCACCTGGCCTAGGCGCAGGCAGGGGTATTGGCTGCCGACGCACGAGAGACGCGCACACAGGCGTGTACGGTTGGTCACCAGTCGAGACACACAAACAGGCGTGAATAATTGACTGCCAGAGAGAGAGAGAGAGAGAGGGAGGGAGGGCAAAGTCACGACCACCGTTGCGCGCGTGCTGTTATGTGTGTTTTGCGTCCCACCCCTGTACTGTGCTGTACCCCTTAAGGCTACCGTGCAGGCGGGAGGCGTGTCTTACCTAACGGCGCAGGAGCCGGATGACCCCATACTTCCCACCAGAAGCTACGACCTCAGCATCACCTACGACAAGCACCACCAGACGCCAAGGATGTTTCTCTTCGGCTACGACGAGGTACGGAGCACGCAGGAGTTTATCTCTGTCTGTCTGTCTCTCTCTCTCTCTCTCTCTTTCTCTCCCCCCCCCCTCCCTCCCCTTTCTCTGCATGTGTGCGTGTTATCATTGTAATATTGTAATAGCATCGACCGCGGTAGCCGGCTGACGAATGAAAAGACGCCAATTTCGGTGGGGCTGGAAGCAGGAAATGCTTGTAAAGGCCATGGTCTGGGACCCCATGAGGGGGTGTCATGGTGGAGGCCTAAGCCGCTCTCCGGATTATAGGCAGAAAAAACGGTGGCAAGCGAAGAGAGGGGTGGGTAGCGGACCCCAAGGGGAGGAACCCTTCTATGTGGCCACGGGTTGGAGTAAACGGAACACGTGCTGTGAGCGCTGATGAAAAAAGAAACGAAAAGCGAAGAAAACTGCACATGTCTGTCTACCCAAAGGGCTGCTACTTTTGTGCTTGTGTATGTGCGTCGGCGACGATCAGCAAGTCGCTTGCTTCGTCAACAGGAGTGCATGTAACGACAGCAGCAGCAGCGGTGGTGGTGGTGGTGGTGGTGGAAAAGGCAGAACGACTCCCACGCATGCCTGAAGGGCGACAGGAAACACCTAACCTGGGTAGAGACAGAGAAGACACGGTGGAGGGTAGAGAAGACACGGTGGAGGGTAGAGACAGAGAAGACACGGTGGAGGGTAGAGACAGAGACAGAGAGAGAGAAGAAAGAGAGGCAACTCGCGCCGTTCGACGGAACGCGGACATGAGGAGGGCAAGTGTCTTATTGCTGTTGCTTTGTAAGAAGAGTCGGGACGAAGTATTCTTATACGTGGCGGAATTGGTGGTGCAAGGGCTGCTGCTGCGCCTAGGAGGGAATTGCTTTTTCCCGCTTACCCTCAGCTTGAATCAAGTAAGAGGCTGAAGCGACTACACGTTGGTGGCATTCGCTATCACACCTTTTTTGCAAAGCTTGATTTCTCCGCGACGAACGAAGAGGATGTCCCAACCAAATGATGATTTGTCGGAAAGCTCTCAACCAAACGGTTCCAACGCAGCAGCCTTTTTCGGCACCGCCCCTCTATCTGGTGTGAAGAACTCGAGAACTCGAACAACTCGAGCTTTGTAAATCGATCCTGGGTGTGTGATATGTTGCATCACCTAACGGTAGCTATCTGTTATTCATCTACGTAGAATTATTCGCTCAGTAATGTAGCCGAGTTAATTCTGTGAGGCGACGCCTGCAGAAGTGAATGACCAATCGAGGCTTCCAGGGATCGACACTCCACCCCGCCCTCCCGCAACAACGTGTTGCTTTTCGTTTCGTCTTTGTCGAAGTCGGGACAACCCCTGCCAGCAGAGGAGGTGTTCGAGGACGTTATGCAGGACTACGCCAGACAGACGGTTACCATGGAGCCCCACCCCCACCTGTCCTCGCACCACGCCTCCGTTCACCCCTGCAAGGCAAGGAAGGACAAGGAATAGTTCTCGTTGGCCAACACAGCAGATAGATGTGGAGCACGCGTTCGTACACCGAAGACTTAAAAAGGGAGAGTGTAGATACTAAATTCAGTGTGTTTTGTTGAGCAGACCCTTTCGTACACCTAGACGCAGAAAAAAGCGCGCGTTGGTGCTACATCGCCGTCGTCAACGCTGCCTTCATTTGCCCTAGAAAACCGCCAGGGAATGGCCCTTCGCAAGGCCAAGCCAACGATCGGACCAAGATGATGTGCAACGGTATCGAGCAACAACGCGGTCGAGAAGGGAAGATCGTGCTTAGAGCCTGATACACGTACACACAGCTTCCAACCATTGTTTCAAAAAGAACTCGCCGCGTATTACTCGTGGTACGGAAGCATGATACTTCCCGCCCCCCCACAACAAACAACAAAACAACAGCACGCGCGATACGTTTTTGGTTCCTTTCCCCGCGCCCCCCCAACCCCCCCCCCCCAAAATAAAAAACAGCACGCAAAACCCCCCCCCCCCACTCACCCCCCCACCCCACGCCCCACAACACAAAACACAAAACACACAACACAACAGCACGCCTCGACGATGAAGATCATGCTGGAGAACCTTACCAAGGGTGGCAAGGAGGCCCGCGTTGACCAGTATCTCTTCATCTTCCTCAAGTTCATCCAGTCCGTCGTGCCCACCATCGACTACGACTACACCATGTCCGTGGACGCGGGGGGAGGGAACAACAACGACACCTCTGAGCCCGACCTGGACGACGCCTTCGTCGACGTAGCGGAAACCTCTCCTTGAGGAATTTTCCACGAGTTTTCCTAAATAGGTTTCTTGCGGGAATTTGCCGCTGCCGGTCCCGGCCTTCGTCGACGTAGCGGAAAACCTTCCTTCACGATGTTTTCGGGATTTTTTTCCGGGATTTTCCCGGAGTTTTTTTGTTTACGTCGCCGCCGCCGCCGGTGCTGGCCTGGACGCGCGCCTCCTCTGTCGTGTTGTAGAAAGAGTATGCTGTCCTTGAGGATTTTCCGGAATTTTCTGGGATTTTTCCAAGGTTTGTCTTGCGTCGGCGGCCCCGATCCCGGCCTGGACGACGCCTCCTGCTCCGTCGTGTTGTAGTATTTTGTCCTTGATTGTGTTCGGAGACCGCCATGCGGACGTCGGGCTAAGGCTCGTCCGCCCGTCGGCCCCAGCGGATCGACTTTGGGAAGCTGTGCATCCCATGTTGTTCGTTCAGAGTCTTGCGTTCGTTCAGAGTGTTGCGAGCGCTTGTATGGTGAGTAGTAGCTGACGAGGCTCCGTTGTACCACCACTAGTAGTTTGTTTACGGCAGGGACGATGATGATGTTTCTTCTCATGTTGTGTGGTATGCATAGCTCGAGTTCGAATGTTTACATTACTGCTGTAGATACCCCGAGCCTTGTAGGTGATTGGCCAAGAACGAGGAGGGGGGGGGAGGCAGTAGTGGGCCCTGTTGGAAGGTCGCGTAAGTAAGGAAGGCCCGTCGCCCAGTGCAAGACCGGTGAAATTGCGCGACACAAACAGTCAAGTTGGTGTCATGATCTGAACAGTGCTTGTCAAATCCTTTGGCATAAGGCGGCCTTACAATATTCAGGGACCACTACACACAACACTGCCGTGCTCTCCTTGACTGCTCTCCTTGACTTGAGTATGCGGTGTTGTGATGCTGCAGCAGTATTGGAAGTGGAGACCGATCGGGGCTAGAATTATTCGCGGGAGGAAGGAACGAAAGCGGGACTATGCTCGTCTTGAGACGTGAAATAGCGCAAGATTCAGTCCGAATGCGGGGTCCAACAAAAACCTAGACTATGCATACATGCGACGGAAGTTCATTTTTCTCTTCGTTCGTTCGTTGTATCAGCACCACCACTGCGGATGAGCACTAATTACTTTTTCATTCCCAACGACAAGAGCGGCAGCAACGACAGCACACCAGAAGGCTGCGTCCGTGAACAAAAGACGACAAGGGATCTTGCTGCCACACTTTTTGTGTGCCCTTTCGAGCGACGGTGGTGGCACTTGGGTTTCACGTCTACCATTTTTTTTGTTTTTGTCATCACTTCAAATAAGCGCTTTACAGCATTCGTAGCCGCGTGCTTCGACCCGTGGCCACACAGAAGGGTCCCTCTCCCTGAAGCATACGGTAGTAGTAGTAGTAGTAGTAGTAGTAGCACGGTGTTTGCTTTTTCGTTTGTTCACGAGCAACGATGGCTAGTAGTATAGTATTGTTCGATTTTTTAGCCAAACAAGA